ATTCCGGCAGAGAAAGGAAGAATCACAAAATGACAGTTTAAACAAATTTATTTTCATATCATTTTGAATCTATGGGTAGTTATCGCAACATGTTGTCGCACTGCGAATAATAACCATTGTTGTTGACTTGTCGACGTCATCATCACTTGCAGAAAAACATCTCTCTTCCTCCTTTCAATGTTTATGTAGATATAAAATATCATATTGTTTTTGAGTTAGAAAAATCATATTTTGGAATGAGCATAGGAACATATTGTATCGTATGAAAATGATAAATTTATGTTGAACCTGCTCACCTTTGCTATCTCAAATTGACTTGTTCTTTATTGTTTGTCAATAAAGATAAAGTATGAAGACTTTTTTGATGACTTTTTAATAGGATTAAAATAAGGATCCGTTTTACTCACCAGATTTAATGATTTGAATTTGATTTATATTAACAAGACACTCAAAAACTTCAAAATCCCATAAAAATGTTCATCTCCTACATCCAATTTCCCTCAAAAATATATCTTTAATATATATTAGGTTGAAATGGCATTTTCAATGCTATTTGTAACAAATGTTTCCGCAGAAAATGACTGACTGTGTTTGTGGAATAAGAGAAACATGAAGCGTATGATATAACTCTATTAAGACGGGACTATAAAAACATGAACCTGAAAAGTGGGTTGGAAAGGAAAAAAGAAAAACAATTTTCAAGTTACAGAAAACACCAAAATGATCGATTTGAACCCACTTGCTCTTTTGTTCCCTTCCTACACTTAATATTTCCCTTTAACTTGTTCTCTCGTCTATCTATACCTATTTATAATGTATATTTCTCTATGATGGCAACATATTTTCACATTTTCAACAAAACAATTTTCATATTTTTTTGTGCCACTGCTGCTTCTGTTTGGTATCGAAAATGTGTTGCAACATCAAAATGAAAATGTAATTTTCAACATACAGCATAAGAAGGAACAAAAAAAAATATTAAAAAAAATATACATTGCATTTTAATATACATAAATTCAAAAATGAAACCATTTATCATTAGAGAAGAGCTGAAGATAGAAGTATAAGAAGAAGAAGTTGATGATGATGATGTTGATTGGATGGTTTGGGGATGGAGTTTTGGTTGATTGCAAAGTTTTTCTGCTGTTAAGAACTTTTATTTTATTTTATCAAAAAAAAAAAATAGGAAAGAAAATTAAAAAGTTCAAGAAGTTTAACAGAGAGCAGGGAAATTTTCCAGCACTTCTTTTCGCTCCACTTACTGTACTCATAATTTTCCATTTATTTTGGTATGTTGAAATAATTTCCAAAAAAAGAATTTACTTTTACTTGTTTTTGTGCTAAAAGCCAACCGAAAGTATGAAAAGTGAGTGAGAAAGACAAGAAAAAAAGAAAGAAAGAGTGAGAGAGAAAGAATGAAAATGGTAGCAAGTACCATGTACCATCTGTTGAAGAGTTATGATTATGATATTATTTATAGTCCCGTGTTTGTAGCAATTTATGTTACCGATCGCCGAAAATTTGTATTAACATAAATTTTATGTCGAAATGACGTATCATGTGGTGTGCATGATTTATGGCAATTTTGTGAATTAAGAATTAATATGGCGCAAAGAGAGCAAGCAGCAAGTTGGAAGTAAGCTGCTTCATAAATGCCTAATTACGCGTGGCAATACTTTCAAATTAATGTATGGATATGTGTACGAAAAAAAAATTGTAATTATCTATTCTCACGCTAAACGAGTTTTATTTCCATTTGATACAATTCCTTCACATCACGCCGGCACATATATTTATGTGTGCAAATATAAACAAGAAGAAATGTGCAAACATTGAGACGAGATGTGCGCTTTATTTAAAATTGTTTATAATTTTTTTCCTTTATTTTATTTCGTGCATTAACATAAATTTACTTATTTATTAATAACATCACATTGCCTATGCCATTACACTCATTTGTGTGTCTCGTTCATTCATTTATTCATTCATTCTCACTCACTCTCTCGCGCGCTTGTTGTTGTCACAGTGCCGAGTGTGTGTCTGCTTTATCTCATTTCCTATGTGAAGAAAATGAAAGAATTTCTTTTCAGCTATGTTGACTCGATGCTGCTGCTGCTTACTGTTAAAATTTTTTTTTTCTTTCTTCCTTGTAATTTACATATTTCGAGTCTTGCTTACTTTATTTCTGTTCCTTTTTAACTAGACAAGCAACAGTAACAATAATAACAATTTACAGAAAAAAGCAAAAAAAGGAAGAAGCGATAGAAACCATAACACCCTCTCTTACTTCGCTATAAGTATTAAAAATGTACTCATCTCATTTCATTCACCCATGAAGAATTTGCTCCTTCTTCCTTCACAGTTTTTTTTTTGTGTGTTATTCATTCACATAATACACACAGGCAACATGATTAATGTTCCTACATCGAAATGATATAAAATTTGATTAAAATAATTAAACGACTTGAAAATTCTCCGTTACTTCTACTTACTTCCATCATGTTATTGTTGTTGGTGTTGTATATGCTTGCAAAATAAACAGCAGGCACAAAATATTCAAGCGGCAAGCAGTGAGAAATGTAATCTATAAGAGATAAACAGTTCAAGTAAATGACATTAAAAATAAAATTATACAAAAAAAAAGGGAAGAGGCAAGTTAATGATGCAAAGTAATTAAGATTGTTTACGATTAAAGGCGCTGTTTTGAAAGCTTTTGTTATATTCTTGAAAGTAGATGAGGTGGTAGTTCAAGGCATGACTTTTATGAAAATCTATTCAAAACCAATGGAATAAATATTATTCAAGAACTTCCTCTTAGGTTTTACATAAATTCTGTTAAAATCTATAAATCACTTTAAAATTCTGAATAATTCAACCATTTGCATAGTCAACATGACAAATTATGGCCTTTCAAATACTCTCTACAATTTCCTTAAAAACGAAAATTCTGCATTGATGAAAAAGTGGGAAGAACAAGTACAAGGAGGACTCACATTATGCCTCAGTTCATTATATCGCATTTTCTCAATCGAATTCACTATAAAAATAGTTTATGTTTGGCAATGAATGTCTTGTGTTAAGCACAATATAAGGAAAAATAAAACAAGAGATCGAAAGGGGTGGAAATGAATTTTCTTTGGGAGTAAAAAGATTTTTTCTTAAAAAAGAGAAATTCCCCCGACTGTACAGCAGTCTTCAAATTGAAGAAAATTTCTTTCTTTATTTTCCTCAAAAAAAAATCTTTAAAAGCAGTCAAGCATAAGTTGTCACATTGTGTGATTAATGAATGTATCATTTGGATCGAGAGAAGCAGTACATGAGTTTTATACACAATACTCAGAGCATAAAATAAAATGAATGAGAAATGAAATGAAATAACATTTTAAAAAATGAAGTTAAAGATGGAATTGAGAAAAAGGATATGGAAAATTGACTTTTCAACTTTAAAAAAATTGTTCATGCTTCGTTCCAAAGAAAAATTAAGGAAAAACTTAAATCGAGAAAAGGATAAATTTTGGCAAATTAAATCAACTTAATTTCATTTCTAATAGCAATTGAGATCTGTAAAATAATTTCCATATTTAATTTAAAATAATTGCCATGTCATTTCCATCAAAACAATCTCGTCGTGTCTGATACTGGAGTTCATGTATGCTGCTGAAATTTGAATTTAAAGTTTTAAGTTTCCATCATAAAGTAATAATCATAATGAATGAATTACATTGTAAATTAAACTTGCAATACATCCAGTTACTTTATTTTTTCATTAAAATAAACGAGCAAAATGTCAAGTCATTTCATTAGCTAATGCTCGAAAATTATTACATGACAAAATGTCATTGAACTCGCTTAATTTATTATGAGCTTCTTTTATTTAAGGATCTTATTGCTTAATGTTACCTTCAAGCTGTTGCACTCAATGAAACGCTTGTATTTTAATTGTTGATGAATATTTAATAAACTATAATTGAAATTGAAACTTGAAGTGCTGTTCTCAATCAGGTTCTTAATAAATTTTAGAATGTTAAACTTCTTCAATAAATTTTTAAAAATTTTCACCATTACAATGCACCGAACATAAACTTTCAAGTTAAACTGTCAATGTTTGTAGATCCACGCCCGATTAAGTTTCCCTTTTGAAAAGTTTGTAAATATTTTACTTCAATAGTTAAAGTAGTTTCCATTTTTCCATTCTGGCGCATTTCTGTTTGCTTTTAAAAAGTTTTTCATCAATTCTATTGTAAAAATATTTTTTTCTCAATGTGAAATTTATTTTTATTTTGTTCTCCTTGTGACTTTCAAGTTTAACTCCTTTTCATTCCATTTAACATAGTTAAAAATGTCTCAGAATCCTTAAGAGATTCTCAATTTCTTTTACCTCAATTTTCTTCTAATCCTAAAGGAATTTTTATTTCTTAATTTTCCACAAAAATTGAAAATAACCTAAGAAAAAAAAGGTAAAAGATCGATTTCAATTGAATAAGAAGAAAATCCCAATAAATATGTATCGTATAGACATTTTATAAATTATTCATACACCAAAAATTTGTTTTCCAATATACAAAATATACACACGAGCAGAAGTAATGCTGAAAAAAGGAATTTTTTTCAATTTTATCTTATAAAAAATTCATGATCTGTATGTGTGTGTCAGTGCATTATAGATGTGGTTTTTCTGCCAATCATCTTACTATATTATCATCAATATGTATGAAATGAAAAAGGAAAAGAAGGGATATTCCTTGATTTTTTGATATCGGTGGTGTTTTCTAATTTTTCGGACGTTCTCAGAAAGATTTAGAAAAATCAATTTTTATAATGCACAAAGATTTCCTGTTTGTTCTATTTTTTTGAAAAAGCAACTTTTGGTCATTTTAATTAATTGAATTAAAATATTCTTTTAAAAACTTTAGCTAATCAACAACTTTGTTCATATTCAAATTTAAACTCAATAATCGATATAAAAATATTATAATCCTATTTTAATTTTATCATTACAGGTTTATTAATGCCAGACGGAGAATCGTACAACCAATGATTGACCAATCAAATAGAGCAGGTAATTAAATTAGCTAAATAGCATAAAATAATAGCATAGATAATTGAATAATGCCTCCTATAAATAAGCAATTAGCTGTAATCAAAGTTTTTTTCTCGCCATCCCGTCCTCTGTCTCTAAAAATTGACTTTTTCTGTTTCATTATTTCTAAAATCAATTTGTGCATTTTGTACAAAAATTTACATGTATTAATTGGGAGGGTAAATCAATTTTTAATTTACACCGCACAAATCAGGGTTGACTGCCACGACTATTATGAATATTCTGAAATTCCATTTTAGAATTTTTTTTTTCGTTTGTGGATTTGCGACAGTGGAAAACAAATAAAGCGTAATGCATTTTAATAAATTAAAAATCTCCACAGTCCATTAGCCAATTTTCTCGGCTACAGAGAAAAAAAAATAATATTAGATAGAAAAAAATGTTTTATGCCACTCAACTCAAACTACTCAAAAATTCTGTGTTTTTGGTCGTATCATATAACGATAAAGCATATTATAAAGAGTGTGAGAAAAAAGGTTATGAATAACAAATACAAATTGCATTTGAACATTAATTAAAATTAGTTAAAATGATGCTATTTCTCACTTCAAAACTCTACTCTATTCTACATGTGAATCCATAATGGTTTATTATGTTCAGTTTCTATGTATAAACACGGTGCGGTTGATGGGTGGTTTAAGGTGAGGGGAAAATTAGTTTGGAGTGCGTGAAAAACTCTCCCAATTTTCCCTTTTGCATTATGTACAGTACATATAAACACAATTCATTGGCATGGCTAATTATAATAAAACATAATGGGCGACATGACTCCATTTTCAAATATTTGACTATCCACTGTGTGATTTGCAAAGTGCAAATGTAATAAATCTCTTTTGGAAGTTTTTGAAACCAAAATCTTGCTCATGTTTATTTAGATTCTTTTTTTTTTTTTGGTTGTTGGTTCCTACTTGTATGTGTGTTAAAGTTCAATGAATAATTTAATGCTGAAAATTTTCACTCAATTTATTTATTCATTCATTCAGCATGACTCTAAAAAGTGGCTTTCATTTCTTAATTTCATGAGTAGATTTTTATCTGTTTTTAATTATACCACATTTCCATGGTTAAAAAGGTAGGGAAAATTTTTATTTTTCACTTCTTTACTTCTTTCAAACAGAAGCGAATATATAGAGAATTAACCGAAATTTTGCAGGCTTATAATGAGATTTTTTTTCACAATACCGAATAAAGGTGGAATAAATTTTAATTCTAGATCTTTAAGTCTACCGAAATATACAATTATATTCCAAAATATCTCATAATAAGATCTATAAAATTTGTTCGCATTAAAAAACATAAAGAAGACATTGCGTTCAATTACCGAACGATGAAATATGGCAATAAGGTTATACACGTGCTTAAAATCGTACAAATTAAGGTGAATGATTAATTAAAAATCTTTAGATGTTTACAGAAATTTAGAGAAATAATTCACACTTATGGCATGACTTTTAAAGTATAATTGATTAACTTCTATGTTGTTTAATAGCTTCATGCGATGAAAATATTTTTCATGTATCGTTAACCGTGAATAATCTTGGAGAGAAAAAATATTTCTTGTAATTTTCCGCATCCATGACAATTTTCTCGCATTCAAGTTCAACATTCTCACATCATGTCCAATGTATTTATAAATAATCATGAGCAAAAACAGCAAATTTTCCTTTACGTGTAGATTACAATTATAGTGAGTTAATTCACATATCTTCCACAAACATAATAACATGGACAGAATGTACATGACGGTAATATAAAACGCATTTATCTCATTTGAAATTAATTGGAAAAGGATAGTAAGTGAGCTAGAAATTATATCATGTGCACAGGCAAATGACTATCATGTGCGTATGAGGAGCTGTTGTTGTGTGTTTTAATTCTTAAGGGACACATGAAGAGAATGAGAAGGTGTATATTGATACTTCTTAGCTGTAAAATCATGAAGGCATTTTCTAAATAATAATAATGTAACATGTCGAATATGTTTTTGTTGGACAATTCTTTAACTCTCTCACTCCATTCCCTCAAAAGTATAAATGAGTGAGAAGGACAATGAACATAAAAATTACGACAGTTTTGGGAGTAATTAACGTCCCCAAAATCATTTATCATTGTGTAAATAATACACATACACATTCAGAAGGAAAAAAACCAAAATATACCATTCGGACATCTTTTTAATGTTTAATTTTCGGAGTCTATACCAGGCAAATGCTTTTTTTATAATCTAACCAAAAGGTTTTTCTTTTCTTCCTCTTGAAATTCTCTTTTACTAAATTTAATATTGTGGAAAGTCTAAAGCCGAGAAAAATTTACGTTAGTTGTTGGAAAAGAAACTATGGATGGAGTATGAATTGACATTGAAAGACCACAAAAGAAGACCTTTTTGCCATCTCTGGATGTTAGAAATTGCAATGAATTTGTTGTCGGTGTAAAAAATTACCAAAAATGAGTATTTATATATCTATATTCGGTTACTTTTATACACCATTACAATGTCTTTTTATCCAGTTAGCATTTAAATACCATAGAGGGTAATTGACATTATGAGGAGTAGCAAAGCAGTCGAGAAAGAAGAAGAAGAATGAAAAGAGTAATAACAATAAGAATAAGAAGAAAGAATAGATACCAACATTAATTTTATTCAAGCAGACATGATACTTTAATTGGTTGTTAGGGACTGACTGACTGACATTGTTGATACTATTATTATATTTGAATATGTCTGTATTATGATAATATGTTTATGTACACATAAAATGACTTTATGTGCTTTATACCGTCAAATTTAATTGCTTTATTGCCTTATATCTCCACCTAGAGAGCTGCTTACAAATATTACAAAAGATTTTGTTTTGTTATCGAATGAATAGCCATGTAAATTTATGTAATTACACTGAATCACTTAATTAGATGAACCATTCACAAGAACACTTTTGCATGAAATCTTCCAAGGCACTAAAAACTCAAAAATCTAATAAAGCTAGCTGCAGAAAACAAAACTAATATGTGACAAAATAAAAGGAAAGGAAAATAATTTCCACATTCGAAATGTAAAAGATTTCATAGTAATGCCATCATCATCATCAGCAGTCGTATAGAAATCCATATATGAAATTTCATAAATCCGTCTTTTGCCGCATTTATCCTTCATATCAACAAATATATCATTTTTCCATCCGCACCGGATTCATTTTTTCCCTTTTCAATCTGTATATATACATGTATATACATTTCATGTGAAGTATTAAGCAGGAGCAATAGCATCAGCAGTAGCATCATCATAAAGGGTCGAAAGTCGAGAAATGGAATGAAATGAAATGGGAAAAAATTGTATAAGAAAAAGAGATGCTGCTTACATCCATACAGCAAATATATATGAGAGAGATGAGATCACTTGGATGAAAATCTTATGTTTTTATGGCTCTGATGTCTATGAAGATTTATGTTCAACAAATAAGAAGATTTATATCTATTGATGGATATTATACACATTTTTTAATATTCCGAATAAATCTGGGATATATTGAAAATGTAAACATTGCAAATGGCAAATGGCAGGAGCAGTAAATGTATGAATGAATGTATTGAAGGCTTGGCAAAGTGTAGAACGAGAATATAACAGAGTCCTTCAATATCCCACAAAAATATTTATATGTACATACGAATAGAGAATATTAACATTAAAGATATAACATGGAAAATGTATTATTTAGAATTAGACTTTAACGGAAACAGGAAATGCGATCCGGAACATCTTGACTCTTTCTCATTCTCTACAAGAACCATAAGTATCGGGGCAATAGTGGCATTTTTTTGCTTCACAACATAAAAACATTTTTCTCCACTTGATTTCACCTCCCCAAAATCTTTTCGGGCTAGAAAACGAGCATTTTGTGATGACAACGCTTCACTGGAAACGAAGAATTTATTCTGTTGTTTATTAGAGTTAGGATTTTCTTGCCACTGCCTTCTTTTCTTATTATTTCCATTCTCGTTCACATATCGGCACATACATAAAATGTGTTTAGCCAAAAAAAAAAAATTGCAAAATTTATTGAAAATGGATTTTCTACATGTATGAGATGAAAATTGTGTTTTGTAATATGAAAAACATCCGAAATAGGAAAGAAGGATGTGGACGAGAAAGTGAAGAAAAAAATTTCTAAAGTCGTTATGGATGCTATTTTATCTTAAGTGCACACATTAAGTTGCAAATATTTTCAATATTGTTCAAGTTTTATGCCATTTAGATTTTTATGTTCATAATCTTCTCACCATTTGCCACAATATTACTTGCATTTTATGTCGAATGTTAGTCAATAAGGATATCCATTATACTACCCAAAAGAAAACTATGATTACAGCTAGTCAACGTCAGAACGAAACAAAATCTTATATTCAATATCTCATGACAAAAATTTGTTACATTTTCTCTTTCTTGTTGTTGATTATAAAGTTCCTTATATTCCAGTATACACACACCCCGGACCATCAGGTGGCTATCCAGATCCAATGAGTTATATGATGGATGGCAATCAAATGATGCACAGACCACCAGGTGATCCTGCTTTCCATCAAGGTTATCACTATCCACCTGCCGAATATTATCCTCATCACTTGTAATTAAACGCAAAAAATTATGGTAAGTTGAATGTGCTGTTCTTGGTTAAACCTTACTAATTCTTACCCTTCCATAATTTTACAGTATCTTAATTTTAATCATCATCATGATCATCACATGAAAGAAAAATTTCTTTTTTGATTAAATCGATCAATAAAGGAACGAAGAAAAATGTGAAAATGAAAAACATTTTGTAACTTATACATCTCACCAACTACCCAGTGATTGCCATTCATCTCATAAGGAATTTATTTAGCATTTTAGTTGTGTTATATCTTTTAAAGAAGAATCATTGTAAAAAGAAAAAAAAAGAAGATTTTGGATAAGAAAAAAAGAAGAAGAAGAAATCATGAAACCATATACTTGATAACTTTTCTGGCAAAGCTTGTGTTAAGTTTTAAATTAGTTATTTAAAAAGGAATTTTTGCACAAAAAAAAACTTGTTAAAAAAGAGTAATAAGAGGAGTAAAAAAGTTGTGCTAAGGAAAAACCAATGGTCGGACAGGCAGCTGATGGCATGGCAGTCAGACACCAGAGCTTATATATGTATTTATAATTAGCAAATTACAATTTACAATTTATAAAAAGAGAACAACATTTTACAACAGCATCAACAACAATAACAACAGCAACGATTCATAAGAGCATATACGCACGCAGCACGATACAAAAACCAATTGATTCAAATGGAAAATGATTATGAAAACAAAAAAAAAGTAAAATATAAAAATAAAATAAAAAACATCGAAAAGCGCAAGCAAAACCAAGAGCGAAGAAAATAATTGGTTGAAAAAATGTGAGTGAACTTGAACAAATCGAGATAACTGAGCTCTGCAAATAATAACCAGCGTGATAGAACACAAAATCAGTTTAATTATACACTTTTTTCTCTTTCACTCCCTCTCAATATCTCTATCTTCTTCTCTCGCTCATTCGACATTATAATACATGATTTTATTCCTCTTGTGTGCTAACAACAATAATTCGAATAGTTTTAATATTATACATATTATACATTCACATAGTGTTACTGATGAGCAAAGGAGAAAAGAAGAAGAAGAAGGAGCAAAACTTAAGTAAATGTAAAAAGAGCAAAATTGATATTAATTAAAAATCTAAAGAGATATGGTAGAAGAGAAGAAAGAGGGAATGAAGGAGATTAATACGTGATGAATATTTAAAGGAATGCTTTCTTGTTGTATTTATAAATTGCAGAATTGAATTGATATTGCATAAGTCCGATGACTATCTCCAAAAGAATATTTTTGTCCAAAGAGTTCCCAATATTTTTTCGGTACATCTTTGTTCATTTAATTGGTATTAAATTCGGATTTATGGAATTATCATTCAAAATTTTTATAATGATTAGCTATTAAGTTCACCAAGCTTCAGTTTTCTCAAGAATAATCAATTTTTCAAAATCTTTCTTGAGTTGATTTCTCTAAAATGGACTAGGACTTCAAGACCTATTTAGACTAAGCAATCTTTAGAAGAAGATCCATAGAATTCAATTTAAGCATATCTGGTCTACTTGCCATTACGAACAAGTATTGAAAGTTTTCTTGAAATTGCCGCTGTTCAACTAAAATCAACTTGTTCAGCTTATAGTCAGGATTCATAATAAATTAAGAAAATTAGATCTCAATATTGACCAATTTTAGAGAAGTCAACTCAAAATTTCAACATTTTTGTTCACATATAATTTTAAAATAAATTCCAACTAAAATGAGATGAACAAAAGCTTAAAAAAAATTACTATGGTAAATTTCAAATGCCGGAGTATACAAGGTATGCTGCAGAAAGAAACTAAACTTTAAGAATCGCATTGGTTATTGAGAAACAAAGTTAGTAAAATGAAAAATCACTTCTTTACCACATACACAAACAAACACACACACAAAGAATGAGATAAAAAAATACTTGTAAAATATTGTTATCAAAGCTGCTAGGAAGAAATGCAAAACAAAACTCTGTAAAAATGAAAATCCTTCCCGAAGAATGAATGAAATTTAAAAATAAATGAAAAACACGATGATAAAAAATATAAAAAAATTAAAACGATTGTAAGAAAAAAAATAATTTAATGAAGAAAAAAAAATGTGAAAGATTCATATTAGATAAATTTAATTTATGTATAAAGAAAAATAAAGTAAAAATATAAAAAAAGAACAGTGGCAATAACCGACTGAATAGAAGAAAATTAGATGTAACTTAATTTTTTCACCGCAAAGAGTAAGAAATAATATGAAAGAAAAAAAAATAATTGAAAATAATTAATCAACTATATTGAAATGAAGCATTAATTTATTAATTATTTTTTTGATGAAGATAAGAAAAACAAGAAAAAGAAAATCAAAGTCTCGATGTGTTTAATTAATCAGCAAATTTGAAGAAAAACGCGAATATGCATCATTTTCATCATCAGCAAAGAGGAAACTTAACTAATACAGACTTAAGATTTTTTTAAAAAATGATGATAAAATTTTTAATTATTTTAATTATTATTAAAACTTTATTGTAATTTGTATATTTTAATTAATGTATTATGTTAATAATTTTCATTTTAGTTTTAATGAAAAATAGTAAAAATGAAGGAAAACCGAAAATGTATAATAATGATTTATTCTCTTTGATCGACTAGAGATGTCTTAGTATTGGAACTTTAGTGGGAATGAGGAGTTTAAATTATTTTGATTTTACACATTCACTGCACTATGTAGCAGCTTAATCGTGTAGAACTAGCAGAATTTAAAAATACTCCCTTGTAAATTATCAGTACACCACTAAGGACCACATCTGACAGACATCAATGACAGCTGCATGCATGCGAATAAATTTTGAACATTCTGAAACATTCATTTAAATTTAAAAATTCAAAATTTATTCTCAAGTATGAAGCAGAACCATCAAACAAATTCAAAATGTGTAACCTCAAAAATCATTGAAAATATTTCGATAAAGAGAATTTTAAATATTTTACCTACGAATTTACAAATAAAATTTCTTGTGAAAATCTTAACGGAAATTATCATTTCCAATGAAACTTGATGAAAATTTTGTTTCTTAACCAATAAAAGCTTAATTTTAACATTAAAGCTAGAATTCTAACCTCCACTAAATCTCTCACATTGGTTAAAATAAATATGTTTGAGATTTGCAAGACTATTGAAAAAGTCATTTGTGAGTCCACAAGCCTCATTGTCATCAGAAAAGATTCAAAAATGATATTTCCGTTAAATCTTCACACAGAAATTTTCAATCACAAACTTTTCTTTTTTCTTCTAGAAAAAAAATTGTGAAAAACTTTCAAATCTTAAATTGAAATAAGAGAAAAGAATAAAACGATGTATCAATTTTACAACAAATTTTTAACATAAAGAAAGAAAAATATATAAGGAAAGAAAAAAAGAAGCAACAATTTCGTGTGATTCTAGCATAGATGAAAGAATTATGAGAAAAAAGTAACAAAAAAATGAAAAAAAGATTTTAAAAAAATTGTTTAATTTTTCGCGATTTTTTAGTTTAGATAATGTTGTCAAAATTTTAAATTGATAGAAAAACAAAAAAGAAGGAATTTTTTAATTTTTAAGTGGAATAAATGCAAAAATGAAAATTATAATTTCTCTCACTATTTTATTATTATTATTATTATTATTATTTTTCTTCTGAAAAAAGCTTCTGTTGAATAAAAGTTTTTTTCTTTTTTTGCATTAAAAAATTGAAAATTTATTGTTTTATTTTTTATTTTAATATTTTGTTATCATTTTATAGCTTTATTTTGGGTAGCAGGATAATTTTGAATTATGCCATGCATATTTTTTTGGTAGGAATTTTGTCTAATCTAGTCACAATTTAAAATTAACTTGAAATTGAACTGGAAACGACAGTCTTGAGAATTATCTCAAGAAGATCACTTAATTGCTAAGGATAGCACATCAAATAATTAAAAGACAAAATTTCAACATTTTTATTTTGTTGTTTTAAATTGTAGTGTTGATGTAAAGTATATGAACTGCTTACAAAGAAGATGCAACTTCAGTATACAACTCATTGTCACGTGAAAGAAGTATACATAAATATTATCTTAAATTAAACAATGCGCACATTACGAGCTCATAAATTTAACAAGGAATTTAATTACAAAGGTACACGTTTGAGTTAGAAACTAAAGAAAAACTTTAATTTTCAGAAACATTTTTGTATACAAATTTTGTGAATTAAAATTAATGTTGAATTCTTACGAAAGTTATGTCTAATTTTTTCTTTTGGAAATGAAACAGTAAATTAAGTATACGACAAAATTATACGCACTAAAATAAGTTTTGATAAATGCATGTTATTTTTGAATGCAAATAATTTTTATATAGATGTCAATTAAAATTATTAGATTCCTTATTTGCATGGCATTGATTCAAAGTAATCCTGAAGCACAAGACTTCGATATTTGAAATATTTTGATTGAATTAAGAGAATCCAAACAAGACAAATTTCTCCAGCATAGCAAAAAACAAAAGAAAAGTAAAGTAAAACTTCATAAAGGTTGTGCAAAATTTTGTTTACGTCTCGTAAAACTCTCGTTAAGTTTACAACTTTTCCTTTGCATATGAAAAACATACACAAAAAATTCGCACAAAATGAAAATTTATTGTCATGAAAATCTTTTTTCTCAATCCGTTCATCAATTTTCCATCTTTTCGTCTCTTCATTCAACTTGAACCCTCGTTAAGACACAGAGAAAGAGAGTTCTTTGTCTTATTTGATGTTTAAACGAAATTGATAACACAAAAATATAAAAAAAGAAACAAACAAGAGAAATAAAGAAAGAAAAAAAATGAAAAACTTTGCAGACAGCGTGACAACAACGAAATCTCGCGTCAATGAAACTCGATATACGTAATTTTTGCAAACATAACATGGTAATAGATGTTATATTATTATTATTCTTATTATTATGTCTTCAAAACTCTTCTTACAATGGAATAAAAGTAACAAAAAAAAATATACAACAGAAATTTTGATGCAAAATTTTGCTTAAAAGAGGAAGAATAAGAAATTTACGAAGGTGGAAGGAACAGAACAAAACTTTTTCTTCTCTCAAACTCGATTGATATTGATCGTGAGATTTTTTTATAAATGAGGAAAATAAAATGTAGAAGTAACAAACAGGGTCTGTTGGTATACCAAAAAAAATATTTTAGTGTTGCCTCAACTTAAAAACTATATATACGTGTGTAAACAATCACCAGTTTTATACATAAACTGGCTAAATACTAACTGATGTTACTAATCATTCGATGTATACGATTTTGGATAGATTAAAAATTTAAGGAAAAAAAATTAATAAAAATTTCATGCAACGAGATTTTTTTTGGCAAGAGAAAAAAATATTTTATCAATCGAGGGATGAGAAGACAAAAAACTTGATTCGATGCCTCACCTCACTTCCTCAATTTTGAATTCAAATAAAAAAAAAGAAATGAAATTTCATCGACAAATTTATTATTATTCCTTCTTATCTATCTTTCCACATAAAGACAAAAAGAATGAAATGTCAAGGCTTCTTCACTTTGGAAGTTTCATTAAAGAATTTCATAATTTTTTACAGACACTAAAGCTTGATTTTAATTTTTTTTTTGTAAATCTATAAATTTGTGAATGAGCTAAGAAGAAGTCTTTTTTGAATATGACTCATTGTCATTAAGACTAAATCTCACGAAAACCAAATGTATTTGGTCATTCTTGGATCACAGACAACACAGTTTAACCAAGGGTTAACCAATGTAAATTTCAATTTAATCATTCAAAACAAATCAAACATCATCATTCTTAAAATCCACAAAGAAGACAACCTTTGAAAGTGAAAAAGCCTTGTCATTTTCACGTTTAAAGAAAAAAAACCTCTGAAATCGATTCGCCTTAAAATGTATACGAGAAAAAGAATATTATAAAAGAAAAAAAAATAAAAAAATGAATTAATGAAATGAAATCTAAACAAAAAAACAAAAACAAGAATGAAATTCTAGCTATACATACAGATATATTTTACTTTATCATTCTTCTACAGCTACACATGTTATTTAATTTCATTTCTTTCTTATTTCTTTATACTTTTTTTTATGCTGCTGCTCTTGCTGCTTCAATTTTTTTGCACACAAAAAAAATACACAAAAAGTTGAGAAACAAAAAAGAGAAAAAGATTCAAGACTTGGTAACTAGGCGGTGTAGCGTTAAATTGTCACAGACTTTGTCACATTTTTGAACAAATATGGTTGTATTTAATGGTATATAGTAGAATCTTAAGATCAAATTGAGCTAGTAGCAAATGTGTAAAAATTTGAAATGATGCAAAATATTTAAGAAGACATTTTAAGGTAAAAAATAATGAAACACCGTTTAGTTTCCAAGTCTAGAACAAAAATAAATAAAATATATAATATATTTTATTCTCTCAGGCTTACTTGTATTCAGTTTGATTTTTTCGTAAAAAAAGGAAAAGAAATTATAAATGAAAATATAAAAAGCTACATGAAAAAATATAAAAAAAAATTCATTTACATATTATTCTGTAAAATTAAACGAAAAGGAATGAGAAAAAGTAAGAAATTTAAATAAATAAATAAAAAAAAACTAAAAAAATTTATTTAACATATCTCTTAATGTTACTTGAAGTGAATATAAGAAGAATAAATAAATAAAAATTATAAAAATTTGTGAGTAAGATACCAATTGTAATTATTATCGTTTTTTAATAGATCTAGGTTTAATATATCAATGATGATGAACATGATAATGAAACGAATAAGTGAAAAGAAGAAATAATGAAAATAAAACAAAATATGAAAAAATAATAAAATTTTGTTCTTTTTTAATCTTAATTTTAAGTTTCAGATTTTTGATGCATTATAACAAACTTACTGTTGTTGCACATACTTTTCATTTTGAATTAAAAAATTTTTTTTCATCCTACGCCCATGCCTAGTTCAAAGAACATTCTGGATTAAACATTTTTCCTCGTTATTTTCAGTTGCTTGCTGCTATGATA